AGAAGGAACTGACTGAGGAGGTGAGGCAAAAGCAGAGCCTGGGTAGGGAGTTGTGTTCTACTCTGAGCAAAGCCCACGTGTCATCGAGCCCATAAATGCCTGTCAGTGACAAATACTTCCCTTTTATCCTCTGGTTTCTCAAACTCTGCTCACAGCAAAGGTTTAGTATCCTTTGCAAAGTTCAGGCCCCTCATTTATCACTGCTGGGGCCATATTTCATAAATCAGCAACATTTCAGTGGCACCTCTAGAAGGGGGTGAAAGGGAAGCTCTTATGAACTCATTAGCTGACAGCTGCTGTAAATATTAATTAACTCTTCAAGGGCTGCACAGAGAAAGTCAACATTTGCTTCTAACTGTGTTTACCAGGGCTGGTTTCTCAGCTCATTCGACGCTGCAACTAAACCAACAGGAAAAATATCAACAGAATTCTTTCCAAACAACCCGAGTGCTTCATTTCCCCTGCCTGGTGACAACCACTCTTCTGCTGTACCACACACAATTCAGCTCCACCAGTCTCTCACAGTCCTTCATTAGGCCTTTTAATCAAAAACCCCTCACTTCTCTCTTTTCTTTGGGTTTATTTGCTTAGTTTTCAGGGTGGAAATTGTTGCAGTTTTCTGTGCCTCATTTCACTGGAATTGGGGATGGGTTTTTTCTACCTTTTTCCCTATTTTTTGTTTTCCTACTAAATTGATTCTGGATTAGCTTTGTCCCAGTGCCCAGAGTTTTCCTCTTGGTCCTTGTGCTTGGTTAATACTCTTGTTATCTTTACTGGTTCACCTGCAGCTGCCTGGGAGGAGAAACATCCATGTGAGATGTCTTTTCCAACATTTTCTTCCCAGCATTTCCCAGACAAAGCCTGAACTGGATGCATTTCAATGGACATTCCTCAAACTCCTGAAGGGATGAGGATCAAACCCTCCTGTCAGTCAGGATAAGGAATAACCCCAAAGCTGCCATAGCTCTCACAAGCAATGAGGGGACTCAGATCCGGAGGTGCTGGAACTGCATTAAGTTTAAAAACAAACAAAAAAAAATCAATGGATTTTAGAAGGAAACCACTTTAAACACCATTTTGATACTCAAACCCAACCACAGGGTGGGTCATTCTGTCTACACCACACTCTTCCTATTAACAAACAACTAATAACCCAATCAAGTATCAAAACATCCCCAAATATTTCCTTATTTCCCTTCCCCCCCCCCTCCCGTTCCCCTCCCCAGCTCTGACTTATCCCACAGGCCTGGCAACATTTTGGGCTCCTACCGAGCCCAGGATGAATTTTTCCTGGTGCTTTTGCCATCCCAGACTATTTTCCCTTGGATCAGAGTGCCTCTCCATTAACCTTTCGGTCAGGAGCCGTGCTGGTCCCTCCTGAGCCCAGAGATGCCATCCTGCAGGTGCTCCTGTCTCCTCAACAACAAGAGGAGGAAAAAACCTTCCTGTCCATCGTCCTCACCATCATTTGCTCATTATCATGCCCTTGGAGGAACAATCCCACCCCATTTGGTGGCATTGCCTGGCCAAACCCATAAAGGTCAGATTAAAGCACAGTGGCAGGGAGGGCTGGAATGACTTTCTCCAGGGATACATCCTTTTATCCCCTCCCAAGGCACTCCAGGTTCACCATCTCTGCCTGGCCAGCCTGGCTGTCCTGAAGTGACAGCACAGAGGTTTTAATCAGATGCTGAATACGTAAGGACAACCTTCCCTCCAAGGGGTGGAAGATCTGAGCACACTTTGCTCTGGTTCCTGGGATTGTTTGAGGAGACACACAAAGCCAGCATCCTCCTCCAGGGCTTTTAATGAGGCTCTGCAGCTTCCATTGGCAGCTGCTTGGTGCCTTGTTTTCCCTTGCAAATAACCCATTTCACCAAGCTCCTTGGGAAGCTCTGTAATTTCTGGGGCTGTAACTACCAGTGCATAGAACTCTAAAACAAAAAAACAACCACAACAGCAGAGGAAAATTCAAACTCCTCCAAGCCTGGCGAGGAAGTGCTGAACTCCTGCCTCAATCCCACTGTGCCACATGGAGTTTTGTACAACTGGCACTGCTGGCAAGAGGGGCAGCTTGACAAACGGGCTTTTGAGGGCCAGAAAAGAGATTTACAGAGTGCAGAGTTGAGCAGCTTCAGCCTGTGCTTCCCTTCCTGCTCCCAGTCCTCCTCAGAGCACTCATTGCTGCTGAGTGGGGAACTCCCTGCAAAGGGCAGCCTGGGGGAAGTTCTGTCGGGATTTTGCCCCCAGGAGAATCCATTTCAGGTGCTAAAGCTGCCCCTGGAATAACCACAACATCCTTGGAGGAGGAAGAATCCACTCCTTCCACAAAATCAGCACTGTCCAAAACCACCTGCAGAAATCCTGCTGAGCTCTGCTCCACACACTATCCAAGAGGAACGAGAGCTACTGCACAATAAAAACATCTTTTCTATTAGCAAATGAAAGCTTTTTTACTCAGCCTGAATTCAACTGGGGGTATTTTTGTCTTTTTTAGCTTTTTTTTTACCTGACCTCTCCTGGTTCCTTCTTCCCCATGTTCCCACCACATTACCCTGTGTGCCACAGTTTATCCCTGATGAGTGGAGTGTTCCTTGCTCTCATGCACTGGATTAAATTATTTGTTGGAGCCAGGGAGGAAAGCCTTTCAATTGCATCAAGGTTTGCATGCAGGCATGTGAGCGCTCGGGATAATCAGTGCAGACAGAGAAAGGAATGAGCTGCTGCTTTGGATTTCCCTGGGTGTGCACTGGAACTGCAGTGATTCAGAGAGCCTGGGCAGTGACACGCTGGGGACAGATTGACCAGTAGCCACCAGAAGAAAAAAAAAGACAAACCAAAACCCAAAACCAACTATTATTCTTTCTGTAATAGCTGGAAACCAAAAGCAAATGCTGCAGAACAACAACAGACAGAAACCAGATGTCAAAAATCATCGAGTTGTCTTAGCAGAAGGTCACGAGCTGTGAGATGTGTCCCTGCCTTCCTCAGTGCTCCTCAACACCAAGGCTTTGGCTGCTCTTCCTTCCCAGGCCCTGCTCAGCCCCCATCCTGCTTTTCTTTAAGGCAGCAATAACAGTGACAAAACATTCTGATGGTTCTCTCAGGGCAGGCTTGGATTGCCTTCTTAAAGAGGTCCTTATGAGACAGGAGTCAGATCACAGTGATTACATTTTAATGTCTCCTAAATCACATGGAAAAGCCAAAGCCCTTCCCCTGGTGATTTATGCCTTCGAGTTGCTCCTCCAGAGCGAGCAGCAGCTGAAGAGCCCGTGTAGACTAAACACAGTGACACTAAAATCTTCATTATTTACAAAGCCAGCGCCAGGGTACACAGAGAAATGAGTTACAGCCAGAGGTGTCACTCAGCTGCCACATCATCCCGGCCCTCGTGCGGTGCTGGGCTCCACACCCCGTAAATCCACCCTTCACTCAGGATACCTGCAGATCCACCGCCCAGACAGGAACACTCAGGGTCCTGCTGAGGAACCCCTGGCAGGCCCAGCAGCCACACCAGCACCCACTCCCGGTGCTCCAGAGGGAATGGGGATCTATGTCCACAAAACAGGGAAGCCCCAGGTGTTTCTCTGAGTGAGAGCTGGGCGATGCCCCAACACATCCTGACCCCATGGGGACGGGGCCCTTCCCACCACCGTCACCAGCACTCGGTGTGTGCCGAGACAAGCCCAGCATGGTCAGAGTCCCCACGGGCTGTAATGGGATGTGCACTGGGCTTTGCCTCTCCACACGCTCCTGGCACTGATTTGTCACTGAGCCACAGCACAGGCACAGGAGCTGTTTGTGACCACTGCGGTCAGTCCTGTGTCCCGAAGGGTCTGAGCACCTCTGACCTCGGCTCACTCAGGTCCCTGTCACCTGAGAGGATGTAAAGCCCATTGCAACCACAGCTGGCTCTCACCCGAGCAGTAATGGGAGAGGAGAGACCTAACAGTCCCTTGCTGGTTTGGGAATGAGACTGCAAAGCTGGCAGAGGAAGGCACAGTTCTAATGGCAGGAACCGGCGGGGAACACACCCAGACACCCCTTCCTGGGGCAGCAGCTCTGAGGGGGCTGCAGTGCTGACCTTACTCCTGCCCCAGCTGAGCCAGGGACACAGGGCTTGGCACAGCTCAGTGCCTCACACAACACTCCAGTTCTCTTCTCCTCTTCTGTCAGTTCTGCCCGCTCGTTCTTGTCCTTTCTCTTTTGGAAGCAAAATGAGGCGTTTGTAAAAGGCCTTTTTCTGGACAGGGATTCATTCCCAGGCCTCATTATTCTGGGACTTGTCTGTCTTTGTATTATTCTACTCCATCTGTACCCTTCTAACTTCTCCCCTACAGCATCTTAAAACCACACAACTATTTATCACCTCCTATAAAACCTCTCTGCTTAAGACACCACCATAAACTCTGGTCCCTCGAGATCAGGGAGGACTGTGGTATCAAACACCCCAAATCTCAACTGTTCATCTGAATTTAGAGGGAAATGTATTTATGTTGTATTTCTGTGATTTATTTTCCTCTCCCTAATTGTGCAACTCCAGCCTTTGCCCAGGACATTCATAAAAGAAACCAGATTGCAGCAGAAGTGCTGAAGAGTCTAGAGCAGGGGGTCAAGTGGCATCCAGGGCTGGTTTTTTCCGGATTTATTTTAGTCAGCTTAGTGGGGAAAATTTATCCTGCACAGATACTAAGCTCGACTTACTGAGTTTCCCCTGAAGACTTACGAGGTCAGAAATGCTCTTCTGAGCAACAAAGCCACAAGTACCATGAGATTCAGCAGGAACTGTAAGGAAAACTACGGGATGAGCTGCTCTGCACGAGGGAAATCAACCTGGGGGAGCAAAACTGAGTGGCCAAATCCAGGGAAGCACTTCCCCTGCACCTTCTCCCTGCTCCCAGGGGCTAAATCCCACACTAAACCCCCATCTTTGATGAGTAAACAAATCAAAACAGCTCCAGGCATGACAAAATCCCAACGAACATCCCACAGGCTCTTACTTTTGACGGTAGCGGTCCGGGTGCAATTGTAGAGGATGGCCAGCTCCCCAAAAACCTTGCCAGGCCCCATGGTGCACAGCTTCACTCCTTCCTTCGTCACCTCGACCTTCCCATCTGTCAGAAAGAGAAAAAAAAGACCATTTTAGAAGGGAAAGGAAGTTCCAGACTTAGTTTATAAATATATATCTTTGCCTCAGGCCAGGCTGGCCTGGGACAGCAGAAGGTGTGACACAGGGGGTGCCATGGGTGGGCTTCCAGGTCCCTTCCAGTCCTGGGAGTGAAACCACCTGGAAAAGGAATTGAAAAGCTTCAAACCAAGCGTTGCCTGGAGAAGATTTCAACACGAGAGGGTTTTTTAGGGGAGCATCTGTACAGTGAGGAGAGCCAGAGCACGAAGCCCAAAGTTTCGCATTTTGCACTTCCAGCTGAAATTTCCCCCGATTTTTGTGCTCAAAAAGGACAAAGAGTTAGGTCTTTAACACCCCACATGAAAACTATGGAGTAATTTTGCTCATTTTCACTGAGAAACTAATCCCTGGGAACACTCATCCATGAAAAACAGGCTGTTATCAAAAGGAAATGGCTCTGATCCCTGGCCATCATTTAATTCCCATCTCCCTGGACCTTCCCTTCCTGAACATCTCATTTATCAGCTTACCCAGACACCTGGGAGGGGGATTGAAAAGCAAGGGCTGAATGGGAAGAAAGGAGCTCAGGACCATCCTGGGGGTTGGGAGTGACCAATCCTTTAAATTTCCAAGGACGTTTGAAAACAAGGAGAAGGGAGAGAACAAGGGATGCAGCAGAGGACACACAGTAAACCCCAGTTCCATTCCTTGTATGGGCTAAATTCCCATTCAAAGTGATTCCCCGAATTATTCGTATAAATGATTCCTTTCTTGCTATTCACCATCACCATGACAAGAAGCACAAAATACATCTTTATCTCAAGGAGGTCCCACATCAACCTCGAACGGTGCCTCGCCCGCTTCAGAGGCTCCTCAGGGAGTTGAAAGGATCCATTTCTTTATTTGTTAACAGAAGGGAGTTTTTCAGCAGAGCTGAAACGGGGATGTTTCTGCAAAGAGCCCCACAACAAATCCCCTCTCCAGGGAAAGATTTTCCCTCTCTTTTAGCTCGAGGAGCGATGGAGACTGGAGCTGGAAAGCACCACGTGGCACAGGGGATGGTGCCACTTCTGCATCAGCCACTGCCCCAGAACACAGCAAACACAGCGGAGGAAACTCAGACACTCATTTCAAGAGCACTGAGGAGATTCCCCTGCACAAAACTGTGGGGGAGAACTGGCAGGAATGGATAAAACGATGCTCCCAAAAAACACAAAGCCAAAGTAATTTCCCTTAGAGAAGAGGGGATCAGCTTCCAAAGGAAGAAGTTATTTAGACTGGAATGCAATTATCCCACCCACTGTCACCTCTGTGCCTCCAGCAGCAGCTCCAGAGTTAAGCAGGAAATTGGGAGCTTCAGGAGACACTTGGCAAAGCACAGACTGCCCAGATTCAATGTAGTTTGTGTTTCATGGCAAACCCCAAAAGCCACTGACAGTTGGAATGCCTCGTGAGCCAGGACAGGGCTGGGACACAGGATGACAGCCACTTGGGGATCTCATCACTTTGGGGAGCACTTTCCCCCCTTTTCCAGGAGTCCTGGTAGCCCTGTATCCCTGAAGCAGTATTGTCATTCGCATGGAGTGTAAAGTCTTATTTTCCAATCATGCCTGAAATATTCAGCCCCATTGGAATTTTCCAGCACGTGGCTCTTTAGGATCCCAGCCTGTGGCTTTGATCACCACCGAACCCTTTTGCCTTGGCATCTCCACCAGACAAACACTGAACGATGCAGGGGGTGCTCCAGGCAGGAAAACTGGCAAATGCTGCATTTCTCCAAAACCCCACATTCAGCACTGTTATTTAATTCCTGGCTGAGCTGATTTTGGGGAGCTTTAACTGGCATCCAAACAATGCACTTTTCTGTCAGCTGTAAGAAACTATTCCATCGTGATGGACAATGCAAGTTATTTTTCAAATAGAGCATGAAATAAAATAAAAATCCCTGTGTCTCCTCGAGCATGGAGCACTTGGGACAGTCGTGGCAGCTGGATTTTGGTGGCTGTCCTGTGCATTGCCCTCAAGTGCCTCCTGTTCTCCATCCTCCCGTGGACAGAACACCCCCTGACACCCCCTGACCCTCCCTGAGGGCCCTGCAGTGACAGGGCTTTGCTGTCCCAGCCCCCCGAGTGCCGGTGAGCACAGAGCAATAACTGAGCACCTAAAGCCCCAGCTGGCTGAGGCACATCCTCCAGAGCAGGATCTGCGTGTCCAACACCCCCGGGGCACAGAGGGGGGGTGTGGAGCAGGGCACTGCTGCTTTGGCACCGGGAGCCCACACAGTTAAACAGAACTAACACCTCTGCCCCAGCTGCAGGCACTGCTCCTCCAGTGACTGCCAGCAGAAAGGAAACCACACTGAGGTGACTCCCTCCATCAGAGGGATCATTTTTAACTCCCAGTAATTAAATGGGCATTTTCTCTTTCCTAGGCACAGAAGAAAACAGATTAAGTTGACTCAAGGACCTTGTCAGCCTGGGTGGAATTTGTATCCCAGCTCTCCCTCTCCCTCCCAGCTTACAGAGGGGAAAGGACCTTGAGTCTTCCATGACTCCCAAGCCCAAACCAGCCCCTTGGTTCCCTGCAGGAGTATTCCAGAGGGCATCCAAGATGCCAGAGTGCATTTCTATAGTGGCAGGTTTCAATACCAAAGTTCCTTCTGCCATCCAGACTCATCAGGAATGGGGCAGTGCCATTCCTGGCCTGTATTCCTCTATATCCAGGAGACCTCTGGAAAGCCTAAATCTTGATTTTCAGTTGTATATTCCAGCAATGCCTTTGAAACGTGGATCAGAGCAATCATTGGTGGCATTATTCCCATTACTGCTCCCTCTTCAGACCCTGAACTCTTGGGGGGGTGGGAAGCTGGTTTTCCCAGGAGGACACTAATTACTCATCCCACTCCCATGCCAGGTCTAAAAATAGAAGCACTTCTAGTGAAAAGTCCGGAAATAGAGAAGCAGGGTTCGACATGAACTGGTGTATTGACAGGACAGAAATTGCATCCCACAGCTCCAAAATGCCAGCAGTGGTGGGAGGGGGATTCCCTGCATTCCGTGCACAATTCACCAGTGACTATTCAATATTTTATTTCCATGCTGTTTCACACTTGGACTGCAGCTCCATTTCTTGGATGCTGTTCAAGCTCTGCTCCGAAAGCACAGGAATAATGATCTGCACCAAGTTTTCTTTGGGAATTATCTCTGTGGATCCTGAGCAGGAGTGAATGTATTTCAAAAACCCCCCCTGAGATGGAGCCTGAGTTCCCATCCCATCCCATCCCACAGTGCCAAGGGCTTTAATCACACACTCATGGAATGGTTTGGGATGGAAAGGAGCAGCCAGTCCCACGCTGCCATGGGCAGGGACACCTCCCACTATCCCAGGGTGCTCCAACCTGACCTGGGCAGGTTCAGCACCTTGAGGACTCGCAGTTTGAGCTCAGCAAATGGGGAAGTTGATTAAAGCCAAGCTTTTCACAGGAGCTGGGCTCAGCCTTGCTGGAACCCACCCTGGAAACGGGAGCAGCCAGCAGCTCTAAGCTTTGGCTTTCCATGCTGTTCACTGTCTCCTCCTCTGGAAAACTTATTTTTTCCAGGGTTTTCCTGCTTTGTTCTTCACAGCTCCATGAGTTCCCCACAAGCACAGGCCAAGCAAAGAAAACAGTAAATCTTCAGGGGGAGGAAAGAGGAGAAATGGAAACCAAGGGGTTAAAGCTCAAGTGATGCTCTCCCACTCCTGCCCTGCTCTGGAAGGCAGGAGGATTCCCAACAGGAGCATTCCCTGCCCAAGTCAGGAGATGTGCACCTACAATCTGCTCTGCTGGGATGTCCCAAACCCCACATTTACAGCTGCTCTTGAGCTCAACCAAGGGGTTTGCAGCCAAACCTTGCAGCTGAGCCCACCCAGCAGCTCCTACAGACTCCCTCCCTCCCCTGTCCCAGTGCCCACCCCTTTCCCAGCTTCCCAGCACGCTGCAGTTTCAGTGCCCCAGCAGGATCCACAGCACCCCCTGCTCCTTCCCAGCCCATGTGCAGGTGGGGACTGTGAGCCCCGACACGTTTATCCCTTCTCCAAATTCGGCAAGTTTTCACAGTAACGAGAGGGAGGAAAAAATAACCAAATGCACCTTTCACCAAGGTTTAAGTCGTTTAAAAAAACCCCCACTGCAAATTGCAAGAGTGCTTTGAATCTGGAAAAACCACCATTTTTCCTCAGCTGCCAGAGCAGAGCACAGAGGGATGCTGGGCTCCATTGTAGCTGGATTCACTCAGGTGCTGCAGGGCCACAATGCTTTTAAAGGCCACTTTCCACCCTCAGCACTGGGGCACCTACAGCATCCTGGCTATTTCCATTGTCCCTGCCTTTGGAAACGTGGCACCTCATCTCTCGGTGCTCCGGATGCCAAGGGACTGGGATTCTGCATTCACAATTGCAGGTCTCACATTCACAAAGCACAGCTTCTCTCCCCCCTATTTTCCACGCTTTGCTGCTAAATAAATACCTGGGATGGGACTGAACTGTGCCCCTGCCACGTTCCCGGCAGCTGGCAGGGAAGCTCAGCCCACAGCCTGAGCCAACAGGCAAAATTCCCAGTGAAATGAGTCAGAAAAGTCTTGAGCAGCTCGGTGTTCTCACCTGCCAGCTGCAATGAGCTGGGTTTCCTGAACAGAACCTGGGTTTGCTGCACAGAACCAGCAGCGTTCCGCTGTTTTCATTTCTTGAACAGACACAGGAAGGGCTGGTCAATAAAACCTGCCGCTGCTTCTGACAGCCAAGTGCTACTGATAAAATGGCCACTTCAGACTTTCACTCTGCTCTTTCTCCCCGAAGGCACCAAGGGAAGCAATTTCTTCTGAAAGCAGATGCTGTGCTGCTCAGCACAAATCATCCTGCACCAAGAGGAGCTCTGCTGAGATCCCCACCAGCTCCAAAGCCCAGGGAACAGCTCCTGTTCCTTAGCTCCTAAACTGGGAAGCCAGATGA